GCTCCATTGCTTAGGAACTGTGAACTGCCATAAAGGCAATCAAACCCTAACATTCTGGGATCTGTTTAACTTACTGTCCAATAAAAGCACTTGATTTATGAGCTACAGAAACATTTTACCTGGTTTTTATTAGAAGCCTGCCTTGGCAGTAGAAGTTTGATAGAGACCCTCCTTGAACACTATCAAATCTATAAATTGCAGATTTAGTGGCTGTTGAAATGCAAAGCACCTCTCAAATAGGCTTTTCATCTTTAATAATAAAACTGTACTCCTTCCCATAAGTCTCACTTGATTCTGTTGAGCATAAAATGGTGTAATCAGTTTTTCCAGATTGGTAACTGAGTCAAACCTTTCTAGTTACGGCAATGTAAAATTGCACAAAATTTCTTGATTGAAATCCAGCTGAAAAATGACTCTGTTTGTGCTAGAATCCTTACATTCTTTTGAGGAGGGGTAGGAAATAGCTAAACAGGTATTCAAGGCCTTTGGCAAAATATTGCATAAAGAAGATGAATTTTCAGACAAAAACTGTAAAATGCATACCTCCATCTATTTACTCATATGAATTATATTATTTATCCCCTGTGCTACATCTCGCCACTTACTTTTAAAATTTAATCAGTGGTACATTGGTAAATTGGCTTTTCAGGAAAAAGAAGAGCTCTGATATGAAGGGTTCACCAAATTCTGTGGTATAAATACTCCCGTGGCGTCCAATTTCAAGCTACCAGTGCCTTGTAAAATTCCTAAAAAATTTAACAATTTTCTCATGAGAGCCATTATGAACCAACTCCAGCACAACCTCTTTGTAATTTTTAAATATGCTTTTGTGTGTTTCCTACTTGTTTTATACATAAAATCATTCTATCTTACTTTATTCTGAAGATCTTAATGGTAGGGGCCCTGCCATGTCCTGATGCATGGTTTTTTTTCCTCTTCCTCAGATTTATCTATACATGTGTAATCATAAATCATGCAAAGGAACATTTTCATCAATAATAACACAACTTTCCCATTTAATATCACTATCAGCTTATAGGTAAGGGCATGTCATAGTGTAGCTAGTAAAATTTCCTTCTTTCTTAGTATTTTATATAAAAATATAATTATCGAAATATAATGAAATACTGTTAGTGCTAAATATTTGATGTGGGTATAATTATACCCTATGGATTAATCTGTCTTTTCAGTTATTAGATTCACCTAAAGCAAGTTACCTCTATGTGGTTATCCATTTAAGAAAAATGTAAATTGCTTGAAATGCTCTTTAGTGTACCTCTTATTCCTTTGTCTTAGTGCTTACATCTGACATATCAAACTTAGATCAGCAAGGTAGGCTTTAACTTCTTTTGTGCATACGGGTCTGTTACCAAAACCTGCTTCCTGCCCTGAGAAGTCCACGTTTGGAAATGGAGATCAGCGGCACGATTCACCGTTGAACAATAAGCATTACAGTCCCATTGCTCTCACCACAGAGTCCGGGAGTTCTGTTCCTTATGGTAGGTGAAAGAACGTCCCCTTGGAGGTGTCCAATTCCTAATTCTCAGAACAGGTGAAGATATTACTTTACACGCCAAGAGGGAATAAATGTAGATGGGATTAAGGTTACTACTTGGCTGACGCTGGTGGGGGTATCCTAGGTTCATCTAAGTGGGCTCCATGAAAAGATGAGTCTTTAGATGGCAAAAGGGAAGCAGAAGAGGCATTTGCCGGCTTTGACAGTGGAAGGGGGCAATGATCCTGGAGCACGGGTAGCCTCGGGAGATGGGAAAGAAACATGATTCTGGCATAGACCCTCCCAGAAGATTGCAGCCCTCCTGACACCTTGATATCAGTCCAGTGAGACCCATCTTTTCACTTCTGACTGCCAGGAATAAGACACAGAATTAGTGTTGATTTAAGGTACTAGTTGGTGCTACTTTGTTACAGGAGTAACAGGAAACTACTACAAATGTCATTAATACAGATGGGCCAAGTGACAGTTTGGGTTAAATAAAAATACCCTGGTTGTGTCACAATTTTGACTTTATGTTCTTTCTCTCTGAACAAGTTTGCTAGGGAAATTTGTAGTATGAAGCAGACTGCAGGACTATATATTTAAGAGACTGACTGATTTAAAGACTTCAGCACATTGTTTTGATGCTACAGGTATGTCTAATTTTAATTGGGAGCTATGCATTTGTCAATTTATTTTGTGAGTTTTTGTTGAATAGTTCCCTATCTCTGTACTAGAGAATTGGTGGAGTGACATGTCCTGTAAATATGTCCTGATTCATATCATTTCATATGGCACTCTCCAGTCCTCACTTTAGCAAGACCTGGTGAGTAGTGTTTACTCTTGTTGGGTGTATGTCATGAGGAACAAGTTTTAGGTTATATGATCTTTGATAAGTAACTTAAACTAACGTTTGGTTTCTTAGACCTTTTATCATGGACTGCATATGTGTGTCCCCCTCTCCCAAATTTATGATGAAACCCTAAAGGCCAGCTCTTTGGGGCTGTGTAAATCATGAGAGAATAGTGCACTTACAGCACAGTGAAGATTACCTCTTTGTCTATTCTCTGCCATTGGAGGATACATTGAGAAAATGGCCAGGATTTGGGTCTTCATCAACAACCTGAGCATGCTGGCATGTTGACCTCAGACTTCCAGCCTTCAAAATTCTGGGAAATATGTTTGCTCTTTTACCACTGTGGCCATGGTATCATATTATAGCAGCCCAAGAAGACTAAGACAGAATTAATATTGAAAAGGGTACTGCTATAATAAATACCTAAAAATGTGTATGTGGTTTTGGAACTGAGGCATGGGTAGAGATTGAAGAAATTTTGAGTTCATGCTAGAAAAAAAGTTAATATTGCCAGGAAGAGAGTTTTAACAGTGATCTGGTAAGGGCTCAGAAAGGAAAGAAGGGAGCTATGGAGACAACTACCATTTTGAAGAGGATGTACGTAAATAATCATGAATAAGATGTTAGTGGAAATATGATGGGTCAGCCCATTCGTTTGACTTTTTCATTTTTTCGTACTGAGGATCAAACTCTGGTCCTTGTGCTTACAAAGCAGGCGCTAGAACCACTGAGCTAAATCCCCAGCCCTAGGTCAGCCTATTCTGAAGAGAACTCAAATAGAAGTGAAAAACCTGTTAATATTATCTGAGACTGGAAGAAAGGCAACTCTTGTGCTTTGGCACAAAACGCGGCTGAATTGTACCTGTATCCTAGCATTCTGTGGAAGGTAGACTCATGGAGGCAGAAAGAGGTCAACAACTTGCATTGGGTCATGGAGCCAGGGAAGGCGGAGATGGACTCAACCAGAGCTGTTGTCTTAATAGCTATATCCCTTTCCTTCCACGAGAGTAGACAGTGTGGAGACAAGCAGTATACGGGAGGAGGATGGGGTTACAGGGTGCTGCCAACTCTATCTGGCATAGTCCCTGAACAGATGTTACCTTACCCTGAGCTCCCTAGGACTGACCCACAGTGTGCAGTAACCTTATCTGAGTGTTTACATGCTAGGAAAGTAGAAAACCGTGATAGCTAGAGACTGCTCATCTTCCAAGGCCCTGAAAGGAAGCAAATTACTATATGTACGTGGATGTGGATTGCAATCTGCAGGACGTGGTGTGGAGACTACACTGCTTCCCCACTGTGCTCAGGGTACAGTGTCGAACCTAGAGATCCTCAGAATGAATTAGCCTCTGATACAAGAATAAAGCAAACATGTGCATGTACACAAACAAACACACACACAGTGCACATGTCCGTTAGATTGCAGTTTTGTAAGTGTAGTATCTGTGCCATCCCTTCATCCCAACTGCTAGGCAGAATGATCTAAAAATACGAGTACTCAATAACTGTTTGTGATTAATAACAGTTATAGCACCTCTCCCTTTACTTGAGGCTTTTATGGGACAGATTCTCTTTGGGGCCAGATGGAGGAACTGATAGGAACTGCTGACTTTTATTTCTGTAGAGCACTGTTTATGTGTTCTGCATGGTGGGAGGCAACCATTCCAGGATCCAGGGCTGAAAAACTGCAGCTGGGAAGGCAGCTTGTCTAGTGACTCAGCATAAGGCCTTGATGACAGGTGGCTATATCTGGAAGTGGTGGAAACAGGAACTAGCATTCAGGGCATTGCCTTGTTTCCTTGGTCACTGTTTTCCCCAGTGCACAGAACCAGAGAATGGGTCTTTCCCCACCCAGAGACCTGGCCTTGGTAAACAGGCTTCTCACAACAGAGCAAGCACACTAGACCAGTCTGACCAGTAAATTGTAGGTCTGAGTGTGAATAATATGGCCTGTGAGTAGCATAGTCACAGTGACCTGTGGTCGCTGTGACCAGTGGACTCACTGATAGACATGGAGTAGGTTAGGTCACAGGCAGTGTGACCAGGAAGGCCAGCTTTGAGCACAGATGCAGAAAGCAACACAAGAGGGAAGAGAGGTTCAGGATGTACACCAAGCTCAGAACCAGGTGGCCTTACCTGGCCCAGCATTATGCCAAGTACAATAAAGACAAAGAAAAATGGGGGGGGGTGTCAGCGAATGCAGAGGACAAAGGCAGAAATATCAGAAAAAGCTCTAATAACCCACTTTTGTGGCTTGTTGAGTAAAGCTCTTGGAACTGAGTGAATACAAAGGGAGGCTACAAGCCCACTTGAAGACTGGCCACAGTTGTGTTTACATGAGATTGAACCACCCCTGATAAATGCGGCTTGATGGGCAGAAGGAAGCTGACATTTATATGCATGCAGTAGAAATGTTTGCCTTGACCGTGTTGCCAAATCTATCTCTGTACCTATATATCTCTCTTTCTATCATCTTGGGAGAATTTCTTATTATCAAACAATGTTTTGATCCAAAGTGACTGCTAAAAAATATTGTCTGAAAGAGAAATAACTAAGACTGAGCTACTCAGGCCAATTGTATGATGGTAGTTGCAGAAAAGGTTGCTTTACAAATGGCTTCTCAATGAGGGACCCAATTCATTCCTAAACATGACCCGGTGAGAAAACCGACCTTCACAGAGGATTCCATTCAGACTCCCTCCACCTTTCAGAGAGACCGGGCAAGGGGAGGAGCCACTATGCACACTTAATCATTTAGTTGGAGCCAGAGGAAGGAGAAGAGAATTCAAATCACTCAGTGCCAACGCTGGCTAAAAATTATTAGGACCAAGTTGCAAAGTTTGAATTAAAAGAAAGGATAGTAGGGAAATTGTCAGTAGGGAAATTGAGGTAGGTCCATGTTATCCTAACTTTTTGCCCCCACTTCCTTTAATAAGGATTTTAACACTCCTAGCTCTTCTACAATTATTGATTTTTTTTTTTTATCATGAGTCTGGCAAACAGACAAAAGACCATATAAGATATCACTCTAATGATTTATCTTAAGAATCTGTGAACTGTGGAATCATGATTGTTACCACTGAGAGACACCTGCTCACCTTTCTGAAATGAGAAGCTGAAAAGATATTCTGAGATTCAGAAAGGGTAAGGGATACAATGTTGACCTTTCCGAGACAGGAAACCTTTAATGAACTATAGGACATCAAGACAGTTCATTTAAAAGATGGTTTCAAAGCATGATCCGGGTCTGGTTTTGTATGTGCCACAGAGAAGCTTTCGGGCTGTCTTTCTACATAAACCCAAGAAATAACGCTTTCAGCAGGAGTTCACATGTCGGCAACCCTCATGCGGCACCTTGGCTTCTAGGCTTCGTAACTGCTTTTTAGTCGCTTTTGTGGGCAGAGTTAAAATTTCCTTATCATTTGACAGCATGGAGCTTTCCTGAGATGGGCTGCTAAGAAGAAAAAAGACAGGAAATAGGCACCAGACCATCCTCATGTAATTAAGGCAGTGTAAACAAGGAAACAAAATCATTGCTATTGACATTGACTTGATTCTATAACATGAGTTCCTTCCCCGGCCTGGGAAAGTTAAGGACTAGCTGCCCATAAAATATAGAGACTATAAATCTTGGTTGCAAGTAATGCTGTTCACATTTTAAAAGACAGGTTTACTGGTTTGCTTTAGGGCTGTATTTAGGCTCACTTGTTTTATCTCTCTCTCTCTCTCTGTATATACGTTCACTGTATAAACATGTCCAGTTAAAATTAGTGTATATATCTATATACAAATGTCGATGTATGTGAACACATGTACACATGCATGTAAGTATTTTTGTTTGTATTTTGTTTTTGTTTTTGTTCTTGGTGCTGCTAGGGATTGAAGTGAGGGCTTCATGCATGCTGTGCAAGCGCTGTGCCACTGACAACCCAGCCCTAAGTACAGAATTAAGGTACAGAATGTTTAATAAATGATATGTGAAAAGGAAAAGGATCTTCCGACTTTGATTTATAGACTAAGATTGGTCATCTACTAAGGCAGAGTAAGTAATCAAGGTTCCAGATTTGCTCTTTTTTTAACTCTTTAAAAACTTTTCCTTTTTGGGGGGGTACTGAAGATTGAACTCAGGACCTTCACACTTAACATACATCCCAAGGCCCTCCACCCCACCTTTTTTAGCTTTTGTTTTTAGTCAGGGTTTCACTATTTGCTAAGTTGCTCAGACTGGACTCAAACTTGTGATCTTCCAGCCTCAGCTGGGGTACTGGGATTATAATTATGTACCACAGCACCAGGCTCTCTCTCTCTCTCTCTCTCTCTCTCTCTCTCTCTTACTGGAACTTGGGACCTTGTGCTGGTGAGGCAGGCAGTGGAACCTCTGAGTTAAAACCCCAGCCCTTACAACTTCTCTCTGAAAGGATGCAATTTTGGTTGTGGTCTGAAGCTTTGAAGCACTACTACTTGGCGTCTCTCTCTTCAGTGGAGCTCTTACCTTTCAAACAAGACAGATTTGATAAAATACTAGTTAGGTTGAGTGTTGCTTGCCCTCGCTCAATCATCTTAGTATGAATCCTTTTTCTTCCTCCTCCTCCTCCTCCTCCTCCTCCTCCTCCTCCTCCTCTTCTTCTTCTTCTTCTTCTTCCTCTTCTTCTTTTTCTTCTTGTTTTGTGTTTATCCCAGGTTTTTTAAAAATGGTTTTTAGCTGATGTTCATGAAGAGAAATTAAACTGTGCTGTTAATGAAAGGAAACCCTATCTAAGAAAGTACATTTCTTTACAAAGCTGTGTCATATCATCCTTTGGGCCCTCTGTTGGAAAAACTAGAATCGAGTCTGAAATAATGCCTTTTTAATGGTATCCTTTAGTACTATAGATGTAGGACAGTACTGTATCACACCTCTGTGAATGTAAAATATCTTGTACCTGCTTTACGATATGTAGTAGTAACAGTGCTTTATCAGAGCTATTTTTAATGATGTTACTCTAGAATGTTTTCTTTCCAGATGATGATTAAGATGCTAACAAAAAAAATGGTGCCGGGTACCACAACAGTAACAGAATTTTGCTGTTTGCTTGGTATTATTCTTTTCTTTGTTTTTTTGTTTTTGTGTTTTTTAATGGAGTGTGCTGGATGTCTATAATTTTTCACATGAC